TTGTGTCTTTTTTGTTCAGTGCTTCACATGCTTTTCTCCACCACCCTGAGACTAGTCTCCAGTCTGACTTTGCTTTTCTTTACATTCAGAGCCTTAGTACATGCACTACTTTCCATGTTCATTTACTCCCCTGAAAGTATCGGAGTTAAAAGGGTGGCTATTTTGAATTGACTATCACTCTATTTTCCACACTGGGCTTATTCATCAGCTGTGATTGTTTCTGTTGGCATAATGACTGCTTTCATACTGCCACTGATGACCGTGTCCAGAGCTCTAGCACATGGGCAAAGAGTTAAACAACAGAGCTCCATTTTCAGCTGCTATATGGTGATCCTACTTGAACACTGGAAATACATCCCTGAAAGAGAATAAGCACAGTAATAAAACAATTCCAGATGCAAAGTACCCTTAGAAACAAGAAACATGAAAAACCTAGGCAATATGTCTCCCCATAAAAATTACTAATTCCACAATAACAGCTTCCAATAGAGTGAATTAAATGAAGTCCCAGACAAAGAATTCAAAAGCTTGGTTATAAGAATGTGGGATGAAATCAAAGAGGACATAAATAAACTCTTGAATAAGTTCAAAAAGGACACAAACAAATAGCAAAATGAAATTATGGAGTCCATATGGGATATGGAAGAAGAATTCAATAAAGAAAATGATTGAAAAAAATCAAATTGTAATATTCAAAATGAAAAATTCAATAAATCAAATAAAAAGCCTCATCAATACAATGGATGAAATGGAAAACAGATTATAAAGGCTTGAATATAATGAAAATATATTAGAATATTCAGAAAATGAGAAAGATAATAAGAATATAGAAGCAGAACATACAAGATCTACAGGTAGTCTTCAAAGCAAAATCTATGAATCACAGTCATAGAAGGAGAATTTCAGGTTAAAGGCAAAGAAGAAACATCCAATAAAACCACAGCAGAAATATCCCAAATTCAAAGATACATTTTGAATGCCAAAAGACAAAACTAAAATATAATCTCAAATTTTATTTAGAGCACGGTTAAATATATGGAACAAGGAAAGCTGCAAGAGAAGCAAGGAGTCACATGTAAAGATAACCCCATCAGAATAAGAACAAATTTAGCAAGAGAAACTTTAAAAATCCAGGAAGTCACAGAACAATGTATTTCAAACTCCAAAAGACATTATCAGGCCAGATTCCAATCTACAACAAAGTTATTCTTCATAATTGAAGGAAAAACAAAAACACTCTGTAACAAACACAGGCTAAAAGATTCATGGTCATTAATCTAGAAGAATAGAAAATACTTGGAGGAATGCTACACACATAAGAGAAAGAGAAACACACTGATGCAACCAGAGGGAAACATTCACGAGGACAGTAAATAAGCCAGCAAGGACTAAGAAAGTTATTTTAAAAAGAAGAATTAAATAAAATGACAGGAATGAGTACATAGCTTTCAAGAATCACTGTGGCTGATAATGGTCTCAGTTCTTCAAGTAAAGGATACAAACTAGCAGACTGTATTAAAATTGAACCCATCTATTTGTTGCCTATAAGAAACCCACCACATTGGTCAATACAACACAATGTTAATGTGAAGAATAAGAAAAAAAATATTCCAAGATAATGGAACTAGAAGTCAAGAAATGTAGCACTTCTAAATGCTGACAATAGATTCCAATCCAAAATTTGTCAGACGTGATAAAATGATTACTGCATATTGATTAAAGAAACAATCCATCAACACCATATTAGATTTTGAATATACATACACTGAACATTAGTGTACCCAAATTCGTAAAACTAAACAGTACAAGAAATTAAGGCTTGGATTGATCTCAACAGACAATAGTAGGTGATTTCAATACCTTATTCTCACCAATAAGTTTTGAAGACAAAAAAAAATCAACAAAGAAATGACATTGTAGATCAAATGAATTTAATAGACATCTACATAGTATCCTATCCAAACATTTACAATTTATAACACACATCCTTCTTAGAAGCCCATAAACTCTCTCAAATCATAACATTTTAAGAAACAAAGTTTTGTCAGAAACAGACAATTAAAATAATATGTTGTATTCTACCTGATCACAGTAAAACAAAAATTTAAAAGGAAACAACCAAAGAAAACTATAGAACACACAGAAACTCACGAAGATGGAAAAATACACTATTAAACTGCGAATGAATCATTGAAGAAGTGAGAAGAGAAATTTGAAAACTCATAGAATTAAAGGAAAATGGAAACACAATATGTCAGAGTCAGTGGGGGAGAATACAAGCAGTACCAAAATACAAGTTTATAGCTATAAATGGCTACCTTATTATATGCATCAAATGTCATTGTCTTTGCATATACAAGGCGACTCTCGGAGTAGTAGTAGGCACTGAGTTCAGTGTTCTGAGCACATGACTGGTAGACTAACAAATACTGAGATATGCTTTCAGTCCAGTGAAGAGAATGGCATCCTCTTGCAGACACTATGATTACAGATACACAGGAGACCTTTACAGACTCCATCAGAAATCTCTTAGAATTGATAAACATGTTTATCAGAGTAGCAGAATGCAAAATTATTCCACAAACCAATAGCTTTTCCATGTATCAATAATAAACATGCTGAGCACCAAATCAAGAAAACAAGGCCATTTGCAATGGTTTCAAGCAAACCTAATAATAAACTTATTGATGTAGGAAAAGACTTATATAATGAAAAATCTAAAACATTAAAGAAATGAGACATGAAAAGATGAAAATAGTGCCCATGCTCATGAATCAACAAAATTAATATAGTGAACTTGGTTATGTTACCAAAAGTAATTTACAAAGTCAAGGAAATTCCATCAAACTTTCAATTCCATTCTTCACAGAACTAAGGGGAAAAAATCCTGACACTTACATGTGAAAACAGAATGTGTTGACAGCTAAAGTAATTCCCAGGGGGGAAAAACAGTGCAGGTATAACAAGAGCAGACTTTAAGTCCCACTACAATGCTGTAATGATAAAGTCAGCATATTAATGACACATTAAACAAACATATAAATCAATGGAACAGAATAGAGGACCCAGAAGAAAGCACACAGCCACAGTCACCTAATTTTTCACAAATATGCCTGTTAGCTGATAAACTCCTTTCTGTCTCTGACATTAATAATCTAAGTCAAATGAGACAACCCTAGTCCTGTGTAGCTTCAAACAATTGCTGCAAAAGCCAATACAACAATATACCCACAATAGAATTATTCCAAATCTCACATTCTGCCAACTCCACTATTATTATTATTACCTTACTTTAAAATTCCAGCTCTTAATTTGAGTTTGACTTTGTTATTTATCTGACATAAACAGTAAGGCCCCCAGAGAACCTTTACTATTGCTTCCTGGGTATTTTTGCCATGGAAGAACACCATTAAATGGTAATCATCATGAAATTTCTGAGAACTGTTTTATTTGTGATAGTAACCATAAATGCATAAAAGTGAGTCCCTTGTGGCTCAGTAAACACATACATTGTGGACTTCCTACAATATTAATTAAAAATCAAAGGGTTGCTTTTGTTTGCAACAAGGGAACCTTAGGATGATAATGATAAAATCCTGCTACTATTAAAAAATTCTTATAAAGTGTGAAATTCTCTCATCAGCATTATCTAGCTGGAACTTATAAAATCCTGGCAGGGAGTCATATCACTGTGTTTCACAGATGACAAAATTGAAATTTCAAAAGGTTGACTGCCTGGGACAAACCGTCTGGCTCATACATTCATGGCACAACTGAGGTTTTCATCTTGCAATGCCAGCCTCTCTAATGTGTTAGGATTCAACCTCAGCTCCATGACCTGTAGATTGGATACCATTTTGCTTTGGGTGGAGACTTCAAGGAACACTAGAGAAACTTTAGCAGTCTCTAGACCACTGACTAGGTGGTCTAATTCAAAACAACAAAAATGTCTCTGCACACTGTCAAATACCTCTAGAGAAAGGGGTGGGCATGAGAAAGGCCACGTTGTCTCCAGTAGAAATCTATCACATCTCTCCATCTTTATGCTAGTATGTCTCTAATGTTCAAATCGTCTTCACAACCTTTCCCCCCTGCTGTGTAAGTCCAATAACCATGGTTATTTAGTGTCTGAGTGTGTTCCTTTCCTGGGGTTGCCACTAGCAGGTGGCTTTCAGTAAGAAACTGGTTCCTCACAGTTGTGAAGGTCAGAGTCTGAAATATTGTCAACAGAATTACTTCCTCTTGAGCAGTGGTCCTCAACCTTACTGATGCTGTGACCCTTTATTACAGCTCTTCGTGTTGTACTGACCGCCAACCATAAGATGATTTGGTTGATACTTCATAACTGTAATTTTACAGTTATGAATTGTAATGTAAATATTTGTGATTTCTGGTGTTCCTAGGTGACCCCTGCAAAAGGATCATTTGATCCCAGTTGGGTTGAGAACTGCTGCTTTTGACTATTCTAGCAGAGAAGCCCTCCAGACACACATGGGCTTAACTCTAGCCCCTGCCTCCCACTTCAAGTGGTTTTCTTGTTTCTGTGCTCTTCTATATCCTTGTTGTTGGGTTTAGGGGCAAACAAGGTATCCAGGATGGTCTAGGATCACAAATGAGTTCTCACAGGTTCTACAAGTAGGTAACTTTTTACAGGGTAGAGGAACATTCAACTCACTACATAAATTACATCAACCATAACTTTTCTAAGAATTCAAAGCAATTTCTGCATAATCTATCAATCTATCATCTCATTAATTTCATAAATACCCTATAAAATAACAAGAAATAAGAAGACAGTGATGCACAAACTGATTCAAGGCAATTTTGCTAAGAACAATGTGTTTTGGTCATTAGAATTATCTTCTAGTCTATGTCCAGGTTTTCCACGCTGAGGAACTGCAGTATGGGTGAGAGGGATAGTTAAATTCCCTCATAGTTAAGGAACCATAAATTTTACATAAGTTCTTGTGGGAGACTGAAAAAAGCAAAAGGTAACATACCTGGATTTTCAAATCCTTACATCAAAGTAAAATCAGCTTTCTGAGATCAACAGAACTTGGTGGAACCTTGCAAAAGAAAACAAGCATGGAACACCATCAGACCATGCAACGAAGCTGTTTCCCTATGTGGAAGTCTCCTCTAATGCCCATTCCCATGAGAGCTGCATCTTAATTTTAAGTGATCCGTGGTTATGGAGCCATGAACAGAAACAGACGTTAGTTTCAGAAAGTGTGGTACTCATCACACTTGCATCTACAAAAACCGATCCTCAGAGAAACCTTGAGATCCTGCTATCCAAAGAGGGCTTAGTCACAAAGGAATGGTCTGCTGATTTCCCCACAATGCTGCGCTTAATTTTTTTTGATACCTCTGCAATTCATTCTAACCAAAGTATCCAGTAAGTGATGAATCACCAGCAGACAGCAAATGACTCAGTTATAAAATCACAACCATCACTTGTACAAAAAAAAACCTTTTAAACATAAAGCATTATAAGTGAACCTCCTTCCTGATTTCTCTCATAGCAGCTTCTGTCTGCCTTCCAAAGGTGTCTGTGAACATGCCCAGTTACTCGCTTGTCTTACCTGTTTACAACTGGAAGTTATAATTCAGCAGTTTCAGCCTGTTGCATTCCCCATCGTGTGCACTGTATTTTACTTAGGCATTTCCTTTTATTAAAAAGTCATAAATTCATGTGGTTTAATTTTTTTTTCTTTTAAATAGAAAGCTGAGAGACAGAATGCCAAGTGACTTTCATTCCTGGCCCAGTACAGACAGCCAATAATTTTAACTGTGCCTTTTCAGAAATATTTTATGCATATTCATAAGCAACAGTCATTCTTATTTAATTGTGAAATTGTTACAGAAACTTACTTCCAATTCTCCTAAGATTTCAAGTCTTTGGTCTTAGTCGGCACCATCTCACAACTTTAGCATCTTTTAAAAGTATGTTTTCCTTTTATTGAAAACTGTAATTTTTTTCTCAGATAACATATCCTGATTATGGTTCCCCTCCCTCTGGTTCTCCCAGTTTTCTGCAAATCCCCTCCCATCCAGATCCACCTCTTTTATATCACTCATTAGAAAGCAAACAGGCTTCTAAGTGATAATAATAAAAATATAATATAAAGATGGGATAAGCAAAAACCAACACATGAAAATAGTACAAAACAAACAGAGGAAAAAGGGCTGAAGAACAGGCTAAGAAACAAATACAGACTGAGACTCATTCATTCACACACTCACTAATCTCATAAAAACACTAAACTAGAAGGTATAATGTATAAAAAATATATATACACATATATACATGCATACATACACACACACATATATATATGATCATATATATGATATGAGGGGAGACATTTGATGGAGAAATCTATCATAAGGCTGAGTGTTCCTCTACATAATGTCTGGCTGTGGGTCTCTGTATGTGTTCCCATCTGCTGCAGGAGGAAACTGCTCTGATGATGGCTGAGCAAGGCACTGATCTATAAGAATAGTAGAATGTCCTTCAGAATTGTTGTATGTGCTAGACATGGTGGCACACTCCTTTAATTCCAGCACTTGGGAGACAAAGGCAGGATGATCTCTGAATTCCAGGCCAGCATGATCTACATAGTGACTTCCAGGCCAACCAGAGCTACATACTGAGTCCCTGTCTCAAAAAAAATGTATTATATTGCTGTTTCTTATATTGTTGTTGGTGGTGGTGGTTCGTTTGCTGTTATTTTGGTTTTTTGTTTATTTTTTAAAATAGTATTTGGCTTTACCTTAGGTCCCTGGGCTTCCTAGCCTCAGGTTCTTGGTCATCCAAACACTGTCAAATGTGGGTTCTATCTCATAAAGTGGATCTTAAGTCAGATCAGATGTTGGCCGATCATTCCCACAAGCTTTGTGTTACAAATGTTCTGGCATATCTTGCAGAACAGGACACCACTGTAGATCAAAATGTTGCTTATCTGATCTTGAGTTAGCTTTTGTAGGTGTATATATCAAGAAAATTATCCTTTTTTTTATTTTCCAATTTGGTGGACTGTGGATTTTTAAAGGATGTCCTCATGATTTTTCTGAATTTTCTCTGTATCTGTTGTTATGTCCCCCTTCATCTCTAATTTTATTGACTTTGATATTCTTTGTCCACCTTCTGGTTAATTTGATTAAGGGTTTGTCAATCTCACTGACTTTCTAAAACAAAATCTGTTTAATTGTTTCTTTGTATTTTGTTAGGTTGTTTGTTTCTACTTCTTGTTTTCATCCTTGAGTTTAGTAATTTCTAGTTGCATGCTCTTTTTGGATGTGATTTGTTCTTTTTGTTCTACAACTTCCAAGTGTGCTGTTAAATTATCTGTATGAGAGTTCTCCAAATTTTATGGAGACACTTAGTGCTCCTTACCTCTAAGAACTGCCTTTATTGCATCCCATAAGTTTGGGTATGCTGTGTATTCATTTTTATTCAGTTCTAGAAAGCCTTTAATTTGTCTTGACCCATTTTTTCATTCAGTAGTGAATTATTGAGTTTCTATGAGTTTATAAGTTTTCTGTTGTTTATATTTTTTGTTGATATCCAGCTTTAATCCCCGTGGTGGTCAGAGAAGATGTAGGTGTTGTTTCAGTTTTCTTGCATCTGTTAAGACTTGCTTTGTGTCTGCATATGTACTCAGTTTTGAAGAAAGTTCTATGAGGTGCTGAGAAGGTATATTCCTTTGTGTTTGGGTGAAATATTATATAAATGTGTTAGGCCCATTTGGTTTGTAACTTCCATTAGCTCCAGCATTTCCCTGTTTAATTTTCCTCTGGATGACCTATCTATTGGCTAGAGTAGGACATTAAAGTGTTCCACTGACAATGTGTGAAGGTCAGTATGTGATTTAAGCTGTAGTAGTATTTCTTTTACAAACTTGGGTGCCTTTGTGTTTGGTGCATGGATATTAAAAACCACAATGTCCTCTTGGTGGATTTTCCCTTTGATGAGTATATAGTATTCTTCCATATCTCTTCTGAGTGGTTTTGGTTTGAAGTCTATCTTGTCAGATATTAAAATGGCTATAACTGCTTGCTTCTTGGGTCCATTTGCTTAGAATATCTTTTCCCTTTTATCCTGAGGTGGTATTAATCCTTGGTGTTAATGTGTATTTGTTTGATGCAGAATAAGAATGAATCCTGTTTTCTTTAATCCATTCTGTTAATCTGTATCTTTTTTTAATGGTGACTTGAGACCACTGATGTTGAGAAACATCAATAAACAGTGTTTGTTGGCTGTTTACTCCTGTTATTTTGCTGGGCTGTGTGTGTGTGTGTGTGTGTGTGTGTGTGTGTGTGTGTGTGTGTGTGTGTGTTTATGCTGGTCTGGGATTATATATTCCTTGTGTTTTATTGAGTGTGGCTAACCTCTTTAGGTTGGAATTTTCCTTCTACAGCCTTCAGTTGAGCTGGATTTCTGAATAGATTTTCCTTAAATTTGGTTTTACCATAAAATTTCTAATTTTCTCCATGTTCTGTGATTGAGAGTCTTTCTGAGAATAGTAATGTAGGCTGGTGTCTGTGGCTTCTTAGAGTCTGTAGAACATCTGTCCAGGTCCTTCTGGCTTTTAGAATCTCCAGTGAGAAGTGAACTGTTATTCTGATAGGTCTGCTTCATATGTTTTCCATTGCAGTTTTTAATATACTTTCTTGGTTTTGTACATTTAGTAAATTGACTATTATGTGCTGAGGAGACCGTCTTTTCTGGTTCAGTATGTTTAGTATTATGCACAGTATTATGCATGTTTCTTGAAACTTGAACAGCAGCTTGTTCTTTAGGTTAGAGAAATAAATTTTCTTCTATGATTTTGTTGAAAAGACTTTTGCCTTTGACCTGGGCTTCTTTTCCTTCCTCTAATATTCCACAGCAAATGGGGGCAGAGAGTGAGGAGAGGCCACACAGGTAGTCTGCTACAGGGCTAGGGATGAGACTGGGGAACTGAAGATGGCGGGGAGGAAGGAGATGAGGATCCCAAGCTCGCCTGCCAGCTTCACTGGCCTACTTGCTTCTCTGGCAGTCTTGGCTGGTGGGTTGCCAAGGAATGCCTGCTGGAGCTGGGGGCTGGAATAACAGGATGAGTGGGGAGGAAGGTTGGAGGAGAAGATCTGCATGATCCACTGGAGATGGGAGCAGATGATCCAGTTACAAATTTAAGGGGAGGGGGGAGCTGGAGGACTGGGCATAGAGGAGAGGAGAAGTCGACAATTCAGTTATGCTACCTGCTTCCCAAGAAATGCTGGCTGGAGCTGGGGCCTGAAATAACAGGATGAGTGGGGAGGAAGGAAGTTTGGAGAGGAAGATCTGTGCAATCCACTGGAGATGGTGGGGGAGGGGAGGCTGCAGCAGGAGATTTGAGACTCCAGGGTTAGATTTGGAGGAGAGGAGGAGGAGGTGAAGATCTGCAGTAACCCTAACTGCTTCCCCAGCTGGAGCGGCCCACAGGTTCCCAGGGAATGCTTGCTGGAGTTGGGGGCTGGGATAATTAGATGAGTTGGGGGAAGGAAGTTGGAGGGGGAAGATCTGTGTGGGGGTAGAGAGCTTTTAAGTATATTTTTGAAGAGTAATTCTCTCACACATTATCCTTAATGCCCTGCTTACCATAATCTGCTCACTCTACCTTTATCCTCTAAGTATCTTTTTTAATTTAATTCACACAGAGAAATAATAAGTCTCTCAAAAATTAGATTAAAAGTCACAAATATTTTACTTAAAAAATAAAATATCTCCAGGGTTCTCTATTGCATACTTAGGAGAACCACTCAATCCTTATCTTTACTTTGATTCCTTTAAGGGATAGGATTGTTAATGAGCTTATTCATTAGAGCGGAAATATAGAGGAAGGTGTAAATCACTTTCTGATTTAAACTAGAGAATAATAAAGACACACATTAGAACTTCAAAAGTTAGCATCTGGCTGAAAGAGATCAAGCTAGATTTAAACAGCCCATGCTTAGTTCTGATCGTGTCAGGATATTGAGCAGCCCGTCACAGCAATCAGAAACGGCTTAGATCTGTTTTTAGGTTACAGATGGCTCTTGTCGTCTGCTACATGTTTACTGTCAAGAAGGTGTATGAGGGGGCCTAGTACATGTTCTACAATTTTGACAACGTGCCTGAATGTTAAAGATGCTGCAGACCTGGAGGGAGCCAGAGGGGAAAGCAAGGAGATTGGGTGTGGACAGAAGACGGTGTCTGGTTGTGACTCCTCTGCACACATGTGCACACGACACAC